CGCACAGACACACACAGACACACACAGACACACACACAGACAGACACAGACAGACACACACAGACACAGACAGCACGCTAAGCACTACACTACCGCTCCCCACACACCACACACAGACACACACAGACACACACAGACACACACACACAGACACAGACAGCACGCTAAGCACTACACTACCGTTCCCCCTACACAACACACGCGCGCGCGTCCATAGGTACACATACACGCGCTTGCTGCAGACACACACGACTTTCAGGGTGCGCACGGCAGTAAACGACTGCAATAATAAAGCGGCAATGCTGCGCGAGGAAGGCCTTAGACCTGCAACACATTTGTGTAATGCGAGCGTAAACACACAAACACATACAAACACATACACACACATACATACACACACATACACACAAACACATACACACACATACACACACATACATACACACAGACATACACATACACACAAACACACACATACATACACACAAACACATACACAATACACACAGACATACATGCAGACACACAGAGACACACATAACACACATACATACACAGAAACACATACACACACATACATACACACAAACACATACACACACGAACATACACACATACATACAGACACACAGACATAGACATAAACACATAAAAAAAACCCACATACATACACACACAGACATACACACAAACACATACACACACATACACACATACATACACAGAAACAAACACATACGCACAAACACACACATACATACACACAAACACATACACAATACACACACACATACATGCAGACACACAGACACACACATAACACACATACATACACACGCATACATACACAGAAACACATACACACACATACATACACACACACATACATGCACACAAACACATGCACACACGTACATACACACATACATACAGACACGCAGACATACACATAAAGACATACAAAAAAACCGACATACATACACACACACATACACACAAACACATACACATACATACATACACACATACATAGAGACACACAGACATACACATAAACACATACACACATACACATGACCCGGCTTCGCCCGGGACTTGGATCCACGATGGCCGGCCGCCTTTGTCTCCCCAGTGACGATGTTCACACACGACAGCAGTTACGCGCTTGAGGCTGAGTCGACCTAGGGGAGTCCCAGGTCCTTTTCAAATAATCGTCAGCGGTGGTGGGCATGAGTTGGAATGGAACTGGGGTCGCTCAACCAGCTTAATGACTATTTGTACAAAGAACATATAAAGAATCGATTATAATAACCAGGCTACAGTCCACATTATATACTGGCAGTACACGCACTCAGCTTCATAAGCAGGCTAGAGTGTACATGATAGAGTGGCAGTACGCTCACCGAGTTTAATAAGCAGGCTACAGTCTACATGATAGACTGGCAGTACGCTGACCCAGCTTAATGACTATTTGTACAGTGAACATTTAAGTAATCGATTGTTGGCGCGTTGGGTTTAAAAGTAATATAAATTGCACACATTGTGGTGGGGGTGGAGTGAAGAGTAGGAAAAACTTTGATGAATTTACCTCAGAGTGGCGTGGTGGGTGTCGAGGCCTAGTAGCGTGCAGAGCCTGCGGCCTCGCCAAAATTGTCCAGCCGGCAGAGGCAGGGTACGGGTGGCGTGCCTTCCCCCCCCCCCCCCAGCGCTCGAACAATACTGTGTAATGGCTATTATTTAATTATTTACGGAGCCTATGAAAGTGGCGAAGGCGTGGCTAGCCGTTGGCAGGGGCAACCGCCGTCCAATGAAACTGCAGCCCTTGGCGAAGGCGTCGCTAGCCGTTTCCAGGTCCAATTAAAGCGGCGAAGGCGTAGCTAGCCGTTGCCAGGGGCAACCGCCGTCCAATGAAAGTGCGTATGGTCCGAAATCCACACACACAGACAGACAGACATGCACGATTTTATATATATAGATTTCCCATCATTTCGAAAGTACATGTTTATTATGATACACTGCTAATTATTCACAATACTGTAATTGTACATTTGCAGATATCTGCTGATTGTTGAATGTGGAAATCTGGGCCAAATGAGGTTTAAAGGCTGGAGTCTAAGAACCGCCGATTTTTACTAAAGGTTCTACACAAATGGCAAGCACAGCATGTCATGCCAGTGAGATAAATTGGGATTACAACGGTTGGTGAAAAGGACGTTTCTCTGCTAAACGGCGCAGGTGTCATGTTTTGACATATAGTGATGGTTTAAAATATAAGGTCGGTGCTTTTTCTGTAACATTTTATTATGAGGAGTATTTTTAGCTCTCAGCTTGACATCCATCCGATCTAGGAAGGTTGCCATATGACTACACATAAATGACCAATCTTCTAAGAAATCACTTAGCCTTTTAAAACATGCGTGCAACGGAGCTCATCTGTATTAAGAAGACAAATGTTGCCTAGATTTACTATAACATGTGTCATTTATAATAAATATTCCATAAAATATGTATAAGTATGATTGTTCTGCTTGTCTCATATTCATTTGAGACAGCAGAGCGCAGCACCTATTTACAGGAAGGTGCCACCTAGAAAACAAATATTGAGCACAGACACTGTTTTCCTTAAAAGTCAGAGATCTATTTTTTTATATATTTAGCTCAAGTATCACCTATTGGTATGGGAATGGTGCAGTGGTTAGCACAGTGGTGCAATTAATTTATTTACCAACCTGCAGTGATCAGCGTGGCAACTATTTCTATCTGGCCATTCCAATTTTTTGCCAGCACAATACACAATAAATATTTGCCAATGAGGCGAACTAGTTAACCGAGCAGAGTTGTACACTATATGACAGTGTATTGAAGACCTGCTCTTTAGTTGTCTCAGCGTGAAGTGTTCTGAGAAAGTGTAATAAAAGATCACCGTGATGCTGTTTCAGACAAGCGACAGAGGAAGGTGCTGCCTGTTTGTGTATTGAGTATAGTGAAATATAATGCAGGATACAATAAATATACCACTATTTATTATCCACCCTTTCCCGGTCAAGTGAAGCAATTTAGATTAAATATATACTACCGAATGCAGTGATCGTAAACGTTAAACATTTTTTGACACATTCAATGCGTGAACACTGCCATCTTGTGGTTGCAAGACGAATATTTAAAGATGGTTGTGGTTTAAGCAATAATTAAAGTGAATGTGCTGATGAGTATTGAGAGATTTTTGATTGACAAAGCTTGTGAGATGACAATAGTAATAATGACATTACACCACTTTGTGATTGGGAACATGTTTCCATTTTCACGAATAGCATTTATCGTGACTTGTGCATCCAGAAGTGGATTTGCAAAGAGCTGCAAATTGTTAAATATGTAGTGTACACACGAGTTGAGTTGGCAGGCATCAGAATTGACAAGTGATGCAATTAAAAGATTTGGCCATATGTAAGCACAGCTTTCAATGCAAGGTTATAGAGGGGTGTTAAGGGGATGCATAACGTCATGTGCACACTTTTGTTGATATTGAGGTTACCGTAATTGCAAATATATTTGCAAATTATTGTTGTTTACTAGTCATACTACCTGTTTTACTGCCATATTAGGTGGTCAATATTTACTTGAAGACTAACACGATTCTCACTGTACAGTATTTTAAAATTCTATAGCAGTGTAAGCAAGTCTCAAACGAGTCACTGTATACCATTTTTTATTTCTATACTTTATTTATTATGGCAACTGTATTTCGTTTAGCTGTATTAAAGTAGAATACATTCACATTTTAATAACCGTGCATATTAATTCTCAATATTACTCTGTGAATGAATATTTGTTGGTATGGCCTCGTAAATGTTTAGGCATATAGTGCATAACTATTCACCACTAGAGTTGGGACGGTGAGTCGCCCAAGGTAATGACTCGACTAACATTTGTAACATTTGTAACAGACTAATTGTGTGTGCTTAACTAGGGTTTCTTCGTAGCAGTGACGTGCGGTGAGGTCAATGGCTGAGTAGGAGGCACTGGCTAGTGTTAGAGCCAGATTCACACACTGAGGGGGGCGTTGCCTCACCGAGACCAGCGAACTTAAATATCTTAATACACATATGTGAAATAAGTCACCTGGAGTATGGAAGGCGAGGACATGAAATTAAGGGGTCTACAAACATCACATTGGTGACATACTGAGATAGTAACAGGCACGCGCTTATTGCCCGCGCTCCATCCAGTTACTGAGGGGTTGCGCAATCAGAGGGGAGGCAGAGCTCGTCGCTGCCTCACCTCTCGCCTCTTTCTGTTTGCAGCGGAGCTCCGCAAATTTGGCGATTTTGACTATAAAAATGATTTGAATCGTACAGAAATGACATTTATAACACAGATCAGTGGGAAATCTTCATATTTATTTCATTAGATTATTCTTTTTTATTTTTCGTAACAGCAATTTTTAATTGTAGTATGGCAGGGGAGGCAGAAGCAGAGCCTCCCCTGCTGCTTTAAATGTCCACGTGATAAGCCACTTCGTTGAGCTATCATTTGTGGCCAGGTCGTTTCTAAAATAAGACTTATACATCTCAGTAGACATTACCTGGTAAAACAATATATATATTACGTACATGGAAAAATCGATATACCATTAGAATCTTTAAAATTGAGATTAAAATTGAAATCTTTAAAATTGTAAACTATTTAATTAAGGACCGCCCCCATCCCTTTCCTCAGTGCACGCGGTCCATCACCACGGAGACCGCAGTCCGCGCCGCTGATTGGCCGAACTACGAAACCAATCACAGCACGGCCTAATTTCCGCAACATAACTTTTTTTTCATTTTCACTTAAAATATAAATCTTTGAACTAATAAATCAAAACACTTACAAAAACTATACCGTAAGGGCACACATAATACTTAATAAAAATGCGTTTAAAACTAATTATATTTTAAGATCTTGTTTGGTGATGACGTCACCCGCGCGCATTCATTCCGCGTACAGTGCGCGCACTGTCCGCACGTCCCCATCGGAGGCGACGCGCGCTCCGCCTCAGGAGGGCCGCCTGCAAATTAACGCAAAATCCTCCACAAACGGAATAGAATTCAACATGCAGCAGCCGTCGGAGCACGACATGGGGGAGCAGAGCGGGCGAACGGACCTGCCAAATGGGCTGCACCGCTGCCGCAGTCACCGCCTGCCGAGCGTCAGCTTGGAGGACGCGGCGGCGGCGGCGACGGCGGCGGCGACCGCCGGGAGCAGCACCGACGATGCGGGCGCGGCGCGGGAGGCTCCGGGATCCCCTCTCGCCTCGCCGCGCTCCCCCCTCGCCTCGCCCTGCTCGCCCAGCAAGATCCCGCGCTGCTGCGCCGCCACGCGCAAGCGCCTCGACTCGCTGCGCCGTGGGAGGCCGCGTAAGTGGTGGAGCGAAAGTGAGGTGGTGGAGCGAGAGTGGTGGTGAGGTGCTCACGGTGGAGCGAGAGTGGTGGTGAGGTGCTCACGGTGGAGCGAGAGTGGTGGTGAGGTGCTCATGGTGGAGCGAGAGTGGTGGTGAGGTGCTCACGGTGGAGCGAGAGTGGTGGTGAGGTGGTGAATGGGGTGCTGAAGAGAAATGCAGTCGTGATGGGGTGGGCATCGGGTGACTTGGGGTGGCAATGGAGTATTAATTGGCAATTTAGTGGCACTGGAGGGGATGATTTGAGTGGAGGCAACGGTGTTGGGTGGTCAATTGCGTTTTGTGGATAGTGGAAGGATTTGTTGGGCTGGTGGGGAAGGGAGTGGGTGTGTTTTTGCTTTAGTATCTTCATCACAAATGCTGACATACTGTATAACTGAAAACAACGTATAAATCACAGTGTCTCCATGCTCAAAATGAGCAAAGGAGTTGGCACTAATCTTCATTAGGTTATGGAAAGTATTCCCATATCGCTCCGAGTGTGTGGGGGTGTGTCTTGACGTCCCATCAAGTACGAATATCAACCCATGAAAGGTGATGCGCCAAGGTGACCCTTGGCAGATATTTGAAAACGTGACCTTTCGATTGAGGACTAACCGCAGGGCCCCGCTGCCGAATATAAACAATGCATTGGTAAGTACGTTAAGCGGTAAGAGTCAATGTTTGCAAAATCAATGTATAAGCCCAGATTCATATTATTGGGTCTTTCGGTAAAGTCACGTAGATAGGTTCAAAGAAAATAACAAAAAACTAAGACGTTTCGATCGCAACACAAGCGGTCGTCTTCAGGAAGAACCTGGGCTTAGACATTGATTTTGCAAATAGTGACTCTTACCCCTTAACAAGCGGTCGTCTTCCTGAAGACGTTGCGATGTGTTGCGATCGAAACGTCGTAGTTTTTTAGTTATTTTTTTGTTCTTTTATTTGAACCTATCTACGTGACTTTACCGAAAGACCCAATAATATGAAATCCTGCAGTCACGAAAGCTTTAAGTCAAGATTGTGTTTGCATTCTGACCACAAGTATTGTGGTTAATGCAGACATGATTCCTTGTAAAAGGTTTCAGTTTGGTGTTTTAACATCTTAACACCTGTTTAAAGCTTTCTTGACTGCAGGGATTCATCTTCTTGGTTCTTTCGGTAAAGTCACATAATAATGCATTTTATTATGTTTTATTTTTATTATTTTATTATTTCCCTTTTACGTGACTTTACCGAAAGAACCAAGAATATCTTAACACCTGTCTTGTTTCCATAAAAAAGGGGAAAACGTATTCTCATACTGCTTAAGGGTTTAGATATTTTGTCTGCGTATACTGCATATGCACTCTGTAAAGCTTTTCCATATAATACAGTGCAGCTCCAAATGCTTGTTTATGGATTACGTGATGGATTATCAATTGGTAATACATCGTCGTTTAGTGTTCTTTCTTCATCAATGTTGTAATTTGCCGATGGACGGACTTTGTAGCCTATTGATGAAGTGACTCAATATTGAGCCATACATTATAAACACACACCAGGCTCTTTATCCTCAAAAGTATACAATTACATTTAGTTCATTGGCCTCTTGGCCCTCTTAGTCAATATTTTCCAGCATCATTTGTGTCTCAACTTTCCAATGTTTATTATTTACCACAGATATCCCAAGTAAGCATTTAATATTATTCATAATTGAGCCAGTTTCACAGTTCGATAGCTATAGACATTTGCACGTGGATTCAATTCAAGCGTGCAGACTGTTATGCACTTAAAGTAATCAAAATGTCCATGAGTTGATTATTTAGTATTTTTCATGGAGTATGTTTCATGGGTTAACCTTAACCACCCCTTCCACCTTGGTTTTTAATGCAACTGTCATTGCTTTCGTTGCCTTTTTCGCCATCGTATGTTTTAATAGTGATACTACTAAAGCACAGCATTTCTCTGATTTTGAAGGACCTTGCACGGGGTGGTGGTGTGCACATTCAAGTGTATTGAACAATCCTCGGCTTCATTCACAGTTGATCAAACTTGGCAATGCAATACATTTCCCCCCGTGTATAAGGATTAATTTATATCTATCATTGTTTATGCTGAGTGTACTGTCTGGATGATTACCTTTGTGCTGACATCAACAATAACAACCCGTTTTTCTGCTCTCGAGTTTTTGCCGTGATGGCAGACATTGACCTCATATCAAATTGACTTTCCTTTTAATAATATTTTTAAGGCAGCATTTATGGAATTGCCATTATGTTCTGTTCTTTAAATAACCATCAGATCACCCTTTGTACATGTATGTGTGTTGAACTTCTTTCGAACCGTACCTAGACACCCATGCTAATTGGAGGTACATGTGTGTATGTAGTCTGCTGTACTCCATTCCAGATATTCACGAGAGTGTCTCTCAGAAAGCATATAGGCCAGAGTAATAATTTTCAAAGAAAATACATGAAAACATTGTTATTTGTAAAAACCCACATTATTCTAAACTCTGCTATATAATGAGGGATGGAGAGGTGGCGCAGTCGGTAGGACACTGCGATATGAACTCTGCTACCTGTTAGCTAAGACTAACGATAGGAAGGGGTGAGTAGAATATCTGAACTGGTGCTGAGTGCCTTCTCTACCAGCCCAAAGTGGCCTGCATGGTGAATATTGGTCAAACAAGTCCCACAACAAACACTGTTCTAGTACCTGACTCTATGATATTGTATTTTATTAGCAATATCATTGCTATAGCTTTTGAGTACTTATGTATGCAATTATAATTGTTTTTACCGATTTCAACAAGTTTTGAAAAGTAAATTGGCCAAATGTATTGATGTACGCAGAAGCCTTCTTGTGGTGGATATTGGATTATTAAAATGGTTTCAAAATTAAACAATGAATCTATTGTTTTTTGCAGAAAACCTTAATACTTATGTAATGAGCGACTTCCGAGACACAACGTGTAGAGGGCTTCCTATTTATTTCTCACACTTGGACACAAACACTGGGCGATATATATAAAAATAGCTCCACACAGCCGACCTTTTTACACAGCCCCATCGTCGGCATCTAACTACATAGCAGGTTGACTAATGTAGCGATGACGACGATGGGAGCCGTGCAGAGGATCGGCCATGCGGCCGGACGACGAAGCGAGATGACGGCGAGCAGCGACGCAGCCAGGAGCCGGGACACCGTGACAGCCCCGAACCTTCGGTTATGTCCCCCCTATACACTTCCCGGCGTGGCCAGGCCACACCTCCGGCCACGCCCCGTTCTAGAGCCTTTGAGCAGGTTCCCGGAGCTTCCTGACTGACACCGCCCTTGACCTTTAACCCAGGCACGCCCCCTTCGAGTTTGTTATTATATAACGCGGCCATACCCGTGATTACCCCTCCTGGCCGACAGGTGGCATCCTGTCGTTACACTTACATACCAGCTGAAAACTGAAACATGTCACTTGAGCAGTTCTAAGTCTTTTGATGTTACTTCGTACACAAAATCATGATGTTGTGCAGTACATGTGTATTTGTCAAGACCACTACCATTTACAAAGTAGTTTGATCAAAATTTCAAAGCCATTTGTGCTCATTTGAATACGGTAGTCTTGAGTTTGTGCATAAAGAGCATCAGTGATGCTAGCGTTTTGGCAGTGAGTGATCAAAGCTTATTGGTATTGCCGATGTCTGAATTAAGATACATTTTCTTTACAGATTTCACATTTTTGCGCATAAATATTTCAATACAAGTTACATTGACCATTTTTACAGTCCAAGATCTTTCACTTAAAAGGTTTATTTATGTTTACTTGTGATGCCTATAAAATATATAATACTATAAACGTTTCATATGTATTGCACCCAGGTCAACCAAAAAAAAACAGAAACCACTACCACAAAGATGTAGTTAATGGTGCATTGCACATCAACCTAATGCTTGCATCATTTACATAAATAATTTACGTGTGATGGAGCATGTTTTTTGAGTGTTAACGCTTGTATAAAATTGCTTACGAAAGCTAAAATGAGCACTGCCTGAGAATATCTTGTTGTATACAGACTGTAATAAGGAGTTTGTGGTACACAGGACTGTATTTAACTGCCCTGTCATGTCTAGAATGAAATTAATTCTCAATGCCATAATTTTACTGCTGCAAACCCAAGCAAGCTATGTCTGTAAGTGTGACCTTTAAACTATGATTACTACAAGTGGGCCTTTTTCCAGCATGCAGGTATAAACCTCCATGTAAGTGTAATGTCATAACAACAATACCCTGTTAAATTTTGTTTTACGCTGATAGAATTAATGTATCCACAGAGACTCTTGAAGCCTTTGTGTAGAGTTGATGATTATGAAAAAACTAAAGTTTTGACTCACAGCAGCGGTGGTGTCCTTGAAAACTCGCGTAACCTTGACCGATAAATGTTGCCATATCATGTCACCCTTTAGTTGGATAAATACTTTAATAACTTACACACTCAAACCAAACAAGCACTTTTCCCCATCATATATAATACTGTAACTTAATTCTAAACAAAATTGTACATATATTACAAAAAGTATTTTATCGTTCTTTTCATCCCTTTGTCGATTCACTGCTGGATGAAGAACTCACATCATGGGGGGGTTTTGACCATATTTCACCACATTGGTCATTGCAGGTTGGTGAAAGGGTGGAAACTCAGAACCATATTCTTGGTTCTTTCGGTAAAGTCACGTAGAAGGGAAATAATAAAATAATAAAAATATTAAACAGTAAAATTCTCACGACGTTTCGATTTGCTGTGGATTTCACACCTGATGATGATTGCTTGTGTTGCAGTCGAAACGTTGTGAGAATTGAATTGTTTTATATTTTTATTATTTTATGATTTCCCTTCTACGTGACTTTACCGAAAGAACCAAGAATATGAATCCCTGCAGTCACGAAAACTTTAAATCAAAATTTAACTCAAGTCTTTAGGATAATTGTGCAGTGTATGAATACACTGCTCTGGCACTCCACCTTTATGTATTGTATTGGTTGATAAAGACATTGCATCAAGCTATCATAATGGTTATTTGTCTAAATTAGATCAATTTATAAATAGATGCATGTGTGCAACAAAGGCTAAACTTCCAGTTCAAACAATGCGAGTTAACCTTTGGTCCAGAAGACTGTTATGTTGGATGATGTATTGCATGGCAGCATAGCTTGCCTATAAGTAGTGCCTGTACTTAAATTCAAGGTTATCTGGTCAGAAACCTAATACTGACTCTCATGGCCATTTGATGGGCACAACAGCACAGAGTACAAAGCGTCCTATGCTTGAAAAGAGAGGCCTCTGCAATGGCTGCTTCCCAATTATACATGCTAACGGTCCCAGAATATGTACAACTTTTAAATACTGTTGAAGTTTACCTGCATATTGGTTCAAACTGCGTTTTGCTGAGTGACTGGTGATGCCAGTTTAACTATTGCTTGCCATGTAGGTGAAGATAGAGTCTAGCTGACACGCAATTTTAATGGCAATGATTTAACAATGTTACGCTGCATTCCCACAGCGACTAGATACCAGACCCAAGCCATGTTTTGCCTCTTCCTGGAATGGCGAGATGTTAAATACCTCCGCTGGTATACAGGAGGTGGTATGTTCGATCTCGACCTTGACGCCTGTATATTTGGAGTTTGGATATTTTCCCTTAGGCTGCGTGGATTTTCCATCTTGACCCCTAAACTTCATTACTGTTTCTAAGGGTGGCCAGGCTGAAAATCAGGTACAGTGAGGGAAAAAGTATTTGATCCCCTGCTGATTTTGTACGTTTGCCCACTGACAAAGAAATGATCAGTCTATAATTTTAATGGTAGGTTTATTTGAACAGTGAGAGACAGAATAACAACAACAAAATCCAGAAAAACGCATGTCAAAAATGTTGTAAATTGATTTGCATTTTAATGAGGGAAATAAGTATTTGACCCCTCTGCAAAACATGACTTAGTACTTGGTGGCAAAACCCTTTTTGGCAATCACAGAGGTCAGACGTTTCTTGTAGTTGGCCACCAGGTTTGCACACATCTCAGGAGGGATTTTGTCCCACTCCTCTTTGCAGATCTTCTCCAAGTCATTAAGGTTTCGAGGCTGACGTTTGGCAACTCGAACCTTCGGCTCCCTCCACAGATTTTCTATGGGATTAAGGTCTGGAGACTGGCTAGGCCACTCCAGGACCTTAATGTGCTTCTTCTTGAGCCACTCCTTTGTTGCCTTGGCCGTGTGTTTTGGGTCATTGTCATGCTGGAATACCCATCCACGACCCATTTTCAATGCCCTGGCTGAGGGAAGGAGGTTCTCACCCAAGATTTGACGGTACATGGCCCCGTCCATCGTCCCTTTGATGTGGTGAAGTTGTCCTGTCCCCTTAGCAGAAAAACACCCCCAAAGCATAATGTTTCCACCTCCATGTTTGACGGTGGGGATGGTGTTCTTGGGGTCATAGGTAGCATTCCTCCTCCAAACACGGCAAGTTGAGTTGATGCCAAAGAGCTCCATTTTGGTCTCATCTGACCACAACACTTTCACCCAGTTGTCCTCTGAATCATTCAGATGTTCATTGGCAAACTGCAGACGGGCATGTATATGTGCTTTCTTGAGCAGGGGGACCTTGCGGGCACTGCAGGATTTAATTCCTTCACGGCATAGTGTGTTACCAACTGTTTTCTTGGTGACTATGGTCCCAGCTGCCTTGAGATCATTGACAAGATCCTCCCGTGTAGTTCTGGGCTGATTCCTCACCATTCTCATGATCATTGCAACTCCACGAGGTGAGATCTTGCATGGAGCCCCAGGCCGTGGGAGATTGACAGTTCTTTTGTGTTTCTTCCATTTGCGAATAATCGCACCAACTGTTGTCACCTTCTCACCAAGCTGCTTGGCGATGGTCTTGTAGCCCATTCCAGCCTTGTGTAGGTCTACAATCTTGTCCCTGACATCCTTGGAGAGCTCTTTGGTCTTGGCCATGGTGGAGAGTTAGGAATCTGATTGATTGATTTCTTCTGTGAACAGGTGTCTTTTATACATGTAACAAGCTGAGATTAGGAGCACTCCCTTTAAGAGTGTGCTCCTAATCTCAGCTCGTTACCTGTATTATAGACTGATCGTTTCTTTGTCAGTGGGCAAACGTACAAAATCAGCAGGGGATCAAATACTTCTTTCCCTCACTGTAACTCCTATAACCAAATAAGCCACTCGGCACAGGTAATGCGAGGCATATGATCCCTTGTACAGCTCACAGGCTGCCATGTGAATCCTGAAGCAGTGGAATGGATATCAAATATCGTCATCATTTTGTTATCTGTTGCAATCCCCCAAAATGCCATACGAAAAAAGAATAGTTGATGAAACGACATAGAAACAATGTAATGCTACATTGAAACAATATATTTAGCCCATGTTTTACATTCGTAAGCATTTACATATTTATGTTCATTTAATCTGTACCCAACTAACAAACTTGTTTTTCAAATTATTGTTGGTAAACATGCCCATTCTATAATTAGTTTTATGCTTTTTTGAGATAATTTCGCATTGAGTCGAGCACGTGTATAAATCGAGGGGGGTTTCCTTCTCCAGTGAGTTGTTGGGCAACATCCTAATCACTTGCAGAGTAGATATGCTAATAACTACCTTGTGTCTGTTCTCGTGTCATGGTTCGACGACTTTTTCTCACAAGAGTAGCACTTTATTGGTATCTCAAGTGATCTCGATGGTGGAGGATGGCCATCTATACATCGCCTGAAGTTACGCTTGGCGTAAAACGTATTATTTACTGGTCAAGATGTCAATCAGCTTGTTGGACAAAAGGCATTTTAATGTAAAACATCACTGGAAGGATTTATGTCAGGTGCTTTCACGTTTTAAATTTGTAATGTAGCATATATGACATTGCAGTAAATAAAATAAAGACGTTTTAATGGGTTAAATGAGTCATGAGCATATATATTAAAAGGCTATATTACTAATGCACACAGCAGCTGGGTGGCAACTGATTTTGACAGGGACGCTGGATTGTTGGTAGGCAGTGGACTGCTGAAAACTCTGGAGAGCTTACCCTTCACAGGATTGCTTCCAGTCTATTTCACCTAATACTTGCCACGAGCATTTGTTGCAACTCAAATAAAAACTCTCGCTTTGTGTAAAATAGAACATATTATCAGTGGTATTGCCAAATTTCACGTAGTCTTTGGGCAACTATGGCATCGCTCGCTTGTTAAGTCGCACATGGTGAAGTGACCACCCTGTTGTCGGCAGCGTTCCCCTGGTTTGGCCTGGACATTGGTGGCACGCTTGTCAAGCTGGTGTACTTTGAGCCGAAGGACATCACGGCCGAGGAGGAAGAGGAGGAGGTGGAGAGCCTGAAGAGTATCCGGCACTACCTGACATCGCACGTTGCCTACGGCCAGACGGGCGTACGCGACGTGCATCTGGAGTTGCATGGCCTTACCATGTGCGGCCGGACGGGTAGCCTGCACTTCATCCGTTTCCCAACGGTTGACATGCCGGCCTTCCTGGCCATGGGTCGGGACAAGCACTTCTCCAGCCTGCACACCGCACTCTGCGCCACGGGAGGGGGCGCCTACAAGTTTGAGCTTGACTTCCGCACGGTATGAGCAATGCAGGGGACTGGCTGTGTGGGAGAGTGTGTTTTTTACAGATACATTTTACAAGTCTTACCCAGACAAATAGGGATGTCACGATGCATCGATTTATAATTGACATGAATTCTTCCAGCTCGTGATCCATACATCACTTTTGTAAAATCAACATTTATCAATTGTGTATGTTGAATGAAATCAGAGTATCTGATCCCTTCCAGCCACTGGAGGCTGCTATATTCACTACAATACTGAAATAAATGTGATTCTTAAAGTGAATCACGACTCTTAATTATGGATATTCAGCGATTGACCTCTTAAATATTAATTGTACAGACACCGTTTGGGAAAACTCAATTGTAAACAAGTAGATGTGAAGTTCAATAAAAACACACTTTTTTCATAAATGTTTAATGTAAGAAAAAATATTTTAGCTCAGTAGTGTGCATGTGTATATATTACTTAGGATGTTTTGTACATATTTAAAATGTCTTGCATACCAGTGAGCACTCAACAACAGGGGGATGTTGCAAAATTGGTCAAACCTAAAGAAGTTTTGCAGCAACCAATAAATTGCGTGAAAAACACCTTTAAAAAAAATCATAACTTTATGTTGAACATCATGCAACAAAAGCAGGACATAATATAACAAAATATGGAGAATGTTGCTAAAACTTCAAAAAAAATATTCCTATATGTGTAATCCCTAAAGTAGAATGATTAGGAATAGGAGTGCAAATACCATACAGAAATAAATAGTGCAATTAATGTCCATAAACTGTCGAGCATTTCCGTAACCTTCCCTATTGGTTCCTACTCCCATGTTGAGGACTCGGCCTGCCAAACTGACCAATTCATCCCATTCATGTTGTGTGCCGCCACCAAACTGCACTTTCCCTTACTACTTAATTCCTCTCACTGCTCGACTTTGGAATTCCCTCCCATAATTTTGTTCCCAAATCCTTATAACCTTACTAAATGCAAAGAATGTCGTAACTGCCATCTATTATAGTTTAATATGTCATGTGTGTTGCTGCTGGCGTTTTTTTGAGCCTTTGGGCTCATCTCCAGAGAATGTGGTAAAAAACAAAAATTTGATGCAAGAATAGTGGGGCTCTTGCAATGCCACGCTGGCGTGATGTTATTATTCCTCGTTTGGTATGCAAGAAGTTGTGGGTTTGATCCCGACCCGGACGCCTGTATATTTGGAGTTTGCACGTCTCTCTCCCCATTGGTCATATGGATTTTTCTTTGGGTCCTCCGGTTTTTCCCTCACTTTAGAATCAACATACATTTAGTATTTGGCTGCAACAAATGTCCACATAAGCGCCTTAGTTGAGATGTCATTTGTGGCCAGATTTCTTGTGAAAAATATCTATATAGCTGAGTGGGTCTTACCTGGTCAAATAAAAATAGTTTATGGTTCCAAACAGCACTGGCAGCAGCAGCAGTAAGCACTGGGCTCTCGCTTCCACTAGATGGCCGAGCTGCAGCTGCGCAAGCTGGACGAGCTCGACTGCCTCATCCAGGGCGTGCACTACATCGACTCGGTGGGCTTCAATGGCGTAGCCGAGTGCTACTACTTCTCAAACCCCACGGAGCGCGAGCGCTGCCAAAAGACCCCCTTTGTGCTGGGGGACCTGTACCCCCTGCTGCTCGTGAACATCGGCTCGGGCGTCAGCATCCTGGCCGTGCATTCGCCCAACAATTACAAGCGCGTCACCGGCACGAGGTGCATCCCCTTGTCCTGTGCTATCATATCCAAGGTCTTGGTACGTGGTATGGTTGGTTTTTCCAATCCGCTGCTGGATGAGGGGCCTCCCCTTGCGTCATGAGTCGTGATGGATATTTAGCCATGCTTCACCACGCTGGTCAGTGTGACTTAATGGGAGTAGTGGGAGTGCAGTGCGAGTGATTCTGCTGCACTGCTGTTTACCGCTTTTGGACATTGTGGTCACTCATCCAAGCAGTGTGCAGATGACTCGACCTGACTTAGTGTCTCTATTCTGGGTGATTTGGTCATAGGTCCAGGTATTTCATAGGTGGTAGTTATTGAGTGAATACACATAGGGCAGTTGGAAATATGGATATTCACGAGAAGGATATCACTTGGATGAGTGGCCCTCATGCATAGAACAGGTATTATAGGCTGCTGCAGGTCTACATTGTCATCAGAAATGAGTGCAAAATCCATTGTACTTATTATTCTCCAATCGTCTATAGCGATCCTTTAAACATGACTGCTTTTGTTGTTGCTGCCCTTTTCGCTCTTGCAGCCTGGGAGGCGGCACGTTCCTGGGGCTCAGCTGCCTGCTGACGGGGTGCAAAACGTTTGAGGAGGCACTGTCCCTTGCCGAGAGAGGGGACAGCACCAACGTGGACAAGCTCGTGCGAGACATCTATGGAGGCGACTACGGTCGCTTTGGCCTTCCCGGCTCTACTGTAGCTTCCAGGTGGGTTCATTGGCTGCCCTGGGTAAGTCTAATTGTCGTAGCAATGTCTTGTGTTAGCGGTGTACAACTGGAGCCATGAAGGGGTGCCATCCTGCAGGTTTTATTGATAACTTGAAATCTCCAAATGCTTGACCACCTGCGTTGAGGGTTTTGATTAAGTAATTCAGACCTCAGTCGGACCAAAATACCAGAAGGCAATTGTGGCCCTCGATAAGTGTAATTGTACACTCCTGGTTTCGTGTGCAGAGTCTGGGATATCAATACGGTTTTAAAAAATCAGGACATTGGGGGATATTAGCCATGACTTTTTATAAGCTACATAGTCTCGGGTATTTTCTCTGCAATCTCATGGTTCAATTACCAACAACCACTCTCGATATATATTAATTGGACTCCAGTGTACAGGTTTCACTTGATGACTTGGTTCAGGTCAGGGATATTGACTAGCAGTGTGAAAGACCTATAAGAGTGTGAGCACATTGGGGTCTTATTCTATTGGACAATTCAGTCTTGCTCATCTGCAGGTCTGTATGATACAAACCGACTAGGTTCAATTTGCATTTCCCATAATCTATAAGTAACCATTGTGGTGACTGCATACAACCAAGGTAAGTTTGTGGGTATGCCGCTATCTTAAGTGATGGTTCTGACAATAGATCACAGTTACGCCTGTAATGCTTATGGGGTCCCAAGACCATTTTCAGATTGTATATTTGATATATGGTGCTCACACATTTGGCATATATAACAGTAAATAATAATGTATAGCCTATTACCAGTCGACTGGTAAATGTGTTTCAAGTTGAGGGATTTTCAAATGTGATGCCCATAAAAAATAGACCAAGTACAGTAGTTGGAACTTTCTGACCCGCCCCTACTGGAAATCTGTGAAAAAGAGCTGCATGGCTCATCGGATTTCTCCTGGATAAAAAAATAGTCTGATTCTGAATGCTGCTTAGCATTAGCAATGTTTATATCCATTAATGTCAAATCTTCACAAAATTCATTTTTTTTATTTTACTGTCTTTCATCAATGCAGTTAAAATGGCACATTAATTTGATCTTTGTACATTTATAGTAGCAGCGCCTGTAGATGGCAGCATGTGCAAGGAGTATAACGTGATTTTTCAATGTCACAGCAAGACAAAACCTATCATTAAAAAAGCTAATAAAGTTTTATTTTACTTTGTCAGAGCCATTAAGGTGTGAGAACTATTTTGCAATGCTTGCCTGACCAGGATAATATTAACAGCAGTTACCAAGTGAGTATAGAAGATTTATTGCCTGTCTTCAGTGACACATTAATGCTTTGCCGAAACATTGTGAATTCTTATAAACATTTAGAACAAAATGTGGCTTTCTAACAGAGTGAAGAAAAACCAGATGTTAGGACAATATGTTTGTCGTTTTTATCCATATACTAGCTTGTTATTCCATCCTAGGACGGAAGCTGTAATATTTAATATGTAAATTAACGTTTTATTGTGTGATTGATAATTTTATTAGGAAATGTATCACATAAAGAACATTTTCTTAACTTATTACCGTAAATGAAATTTAGGACTGTGGAAGATTTCTCGGTATACGATATTTGGACTAGTAAAGTAGACTTACCTTTTGTGGGACGTGCCGAAGAAATAAATTAAGGCACCAAATGCACTGTGATACGGCGTAGAATATATTTATTTCCTTAACTTTCTATAAGATACGTAAAATCAAAAGCGAATTTGCGTAAAAAATTATCATAGCCACTCGACCTTCTGCTTTAGTAAAACAATCCAGGCACACATAAATAATAGCGAGGGGGGTGGGGGCGCATGTGGAGTGACGTCACATGCGGGACTCGCACACACAGCCTTTTTTGGCTTATATTAGTTGCTGTGTAGATTTAGTTATTAGCTTTACTTTCCATAAAGAAAGCTCAACATAATGAGGGAGCTGGTCGATGTGTAGTGACGTCACGTGCATTACATACAGACATTCTTGGCTCATATTATTAAATGGATTACTTTTATAAGATTCATACATTTTCTAAGAATCAGTGGCAGTACAGAAACTGAAAAGATCAGTCTTGTGCATGTAATATAATTTAGATATCATATAGCGTTTTTTAATATTATAATTAGGATTATAACAATGCTTTGATTGTGATGAAATAAAAAAAAGATGTAGCCTAAAATTACATATGTAAAATATTACTTGTTATTTCTATATACTACACATAATCCCTGTAGCCATAAGTGGCCACTTCATTCATCACATTGTAAAAAAAATTTATTGAATCCAAGCGTGAACCTAAATAACTAGGGGATATGAATATTGGATGTACAATAAACACTACACATTTTAGACAATTAAGTATAGCTAATTATCAGAATCAGAAACGGTTTTAATCGCCATGTAAGTTTGCACAAACAAGGAATTCACTATGGCGGGACGGTGCATACATTGAACAAGTAGGAATCTTAACTTATATAAACGTTATACACTCTAACTATACTAACGTTACAAAGTATAAGTAATACCAAAGGGCTAAAATCTTTAAAATTATGAATAAGTAGACCTTATAAAATGCGAATGTAAAATGTTAATTAGCCGTATTAAACAATCTTAAAATACAAAAATACAAATAAGATTACACGTAAGTATGGAAAGGTGTAATTATGTAGATAAAATGTTATAGTAAGTGTAACAGTCATTTTAAGTGTAAAAGTCATTTTAAGCCCTTGGCCTTGTTGAGGAGGCCAACAGCAGATGGGAAAAAACTGTTTTTATGACGTGAGGTTTTGGTCTTGATGGACCGCAGCCTTCTGCCGGAGGGGAGTAGCTGGAACAGAGAGTATCCAGGGTGCGAGGAATCGTCCGCAATCTTCCTCGCTCGCTTCAGGGTCCTCAAAGTGTGCAGGTCCTCAAGGGTTGGTAGATTACAGCCAATCACCTTCTCAGCAGTGCGGATGATACGCTGCAGTCTGCTCTTGTCCTTGGCAGTTGCAGCAGCGTACCAGACGGTGATGGAGGAGGTGAGGATGGACTGAATGATAGCTGTATAGAAGCACACCATCATTGTCTTTGGCAGATTAAATTTCTTCAGCTGCCGTAGGAAGTACATTCTCTGTTGAGCTCTCTTGATAAGGGAGCTGATGTTCAGTTCCCACTTGAGGTCCTGGGAAAGAATAGTGCCCAGGAAGCGGAAGGACTCAACATTGGTGACTGGGGAGTCGCACAGGGTGATGGGGGTGAGTGGGGCTGTATTCTTCCTGAAGTCCACAACCATCTCCACGGTCTTAAGAGCATTAAGCTCCAGGTTGTTCTCGGCTTACATTTAAGCCATGTATTTTTACTAAGCTTATAATATAATGAGTTCTGTAATGCAAAGGGTGACTGCAGTTTGTTTAAAATAATTCTATGTGTAAGTCACTAAATATATCTAATTACATGTTCCCAAAAATATTTTGAACATCCCTGATATATTACATTGTATATCATGAATCGGAATAGTATTTTAATTCACTGCCTGTACTGTTCAGCTTAAGCAAAGCTCTTAATCATCATGTTCTGTGTATATGCTTAAAGAACACCCTTCTCAGCTACACTCAACCAGATTTGTAACCGGTATCCACTTTGGACACGATTAGTTGATTTTCATATAGTCCAAGGGTCGGCTACCTGCGGCTCCGAAGCAGGGCTGCTGCTTCGTGACGTTGTTTATTAAGGACCACCACAGTGTCATATTCACAACGTGCATTGCGGCTCTTGAAATATTTTTTTTACTGAATTCGATCTAGTCTCTATTGTGATTGATTGAAAGTGGAGTGAGCTTTAAATGTTCGTGTAAGTAGTGCACAGTAAACAACTACGGAATGTCACTTCCATTACGGTAGTGGGGCAAAGTTGCGTGCCTGTGACCCGGGTCCTTAGGCAGAACATGGTGACACCCTTGAAAAATGACACTGCATCACAACGCTTATGATTTGCCATGCCAGTGCTGTCACATGATGCGGCTTTCTGTCACGCCAACGCTGCAATTCGTCCGATCGCTACGTTTTTGGCACATGGAGAACTTGAATAACTTGGTGGGCACTTTGCTTTCACAAGTCAATTAAATGATTATCAAGGTGCACGCTAAATACAGGCTCTGGTTTATCCCTAGGTCATTAAATAGGTAGCTGGGTGGTCGAATGGGCATCATCCTCCATTAATAGAGATTGAGGATCTGCAATTTCTTTTTTCATCTCTGCTATCTCGATGATGTGTTGTGAATTACAAATTACTGTTTTTGTCTGTCCACGAAGAAAACATTGAGCCTTCTGCTTTTTGTTCCTTTTCACAGATATATGTAATGATAATAATCTTTAAAAAAAAATCCAAACTTCCAGTGTGTGCCCGTGCTGTGGCCAAATTTGTGAATAAAGTATGTGTCCACCAGGGGGAGAATGTTGCCACTTTTAGACAGCACTTCATATGCAGTCAAACAACTACCCAGTTGAGTATAAAGGTATTTAGTACATGAATGTGGTTATGACATTTGTTATGAGCTTTCAGAAGTAGAGCAGATATGCAGTGGTTAGCACACTACACTAAGAACTGCCTTAGTTCGATTCCCAGCCACTGCTAATATCATTGGTAATGCCTGAACCAGTTTTGGGTCCCACCCTTCACCAACCCACACTAACTAGCATGGTGGAGTACATAAAACATCTTACATGACTAACTTCAGCATCCATAATTTGCTAAGAGATATTTGAGTAAGCCTATAAAACCTGCAGTTTAGCATTTTTATTTTACCAGTTTGGCCACTGCTTAGAGAAAGCTGTTTTTCTTGCTTTACGAGTATTATCTTTCATATGAACATACTGAAATATATGCTTGAAACAATAAACCATTGCTGTTAAGGAGGTGACCAGGTGGCTCTCCGATGTCAGGGTGCCAAGCTGGCGCTGCTGAGAATCCACGGTTTGATCGGGCAGCGGCTCACGAGTCAACCAGGGTCTCTGCCGCCAGCAATTAAACCGGGGTCTCTACCCTCGTGAGTTGTTGGTCTCTGCCCGGACACAATGACCGTACAAAATACGTACAAATAAATATGGTTTTGCACTTAATCAGGCTAAAATCCAGGTCTATTACTTTATATGTATATTGGTGTTTCTGTCATGCGACAAATATAGCCGGGCAGGTGAGGAAGTGTTGCCCCTGAGTTGCACTTGAGATTTTAAAAGCAGTTTTGTGATATCTCCTTCTGTGGACTGTTCTCTAGCATGGGATACCAATAGCACAAGTGGGATAAAATATCGGAAAAGACAACAAAACATGGTCATGACTCTGTGGTTGCCAGGCCCCCCACGTTTGCATTATTAGTGTTTTTTATGTATTTTCTTTCCACTAAGTTACACCATTTGTATTTATACTTGAAATGCTAACGTATGAATGATGCATATAAATTATTGCCCGTTATAATCGTACATTTATTGGTTTTATGACAAAGGGAAATATTATTTAACATGTAAATGTATGGATTAGTTGTGTATTTGTGTACCATTAATTTAACACTTTAAAAAATAACCGGGTACTGTACTGTAATCATTAACGCTCAGCAATTCCTGCAGGAATCGTCTTAGAATCCTACAATGTTTTGGTTGGAAATGCATCCAGGAAACTCAACATCTCTGCTATGGGGGAATCCCATGCTATCTCCATTCTCTTGACTCATTTGTGCTCAGTTATAACTCTATCTTGTGGTTATCCTTAGAATCGCCTCAATGATTGCATTCATTTGAATAGAGATTCAGGAATCTCCATTGAATTTAATCGGTATTATTTGACAACCTAGCAGTTATATATAGGACCCCAAATAATTTCAGTGGTAACTCCGATCGTTTTTTGTATGTATGTTCAACTTATTTCGCAGAGAAGTCCAACATACATTATGCACCATTCTTAGGCGGTCGAAGAATCCCATTCTTTTGGATCGAAATTCAGTAATCACTTTTGAATGAGACCCTTGGACTGCCTTGGAATTTTTCACAGCATTTCTATTTTGAATATCAATTCCTTGGTATCCACTCAAATGATTCAATTCTTGATTATGAGATTCACCACTAGATGGCATACTTTGGCAATTTCTTATCGAAATCCTGGCAATTCCGCCCATCTCAGGAACCTATTCAGAGTCGCATGATAATTTGTTGGGATCGCTCAGAACTAATAATCATATTAGTTGTATGGTTTTATTCTGTTACCCCATTACATTCCTAAGTTATGTTTGCAGTGCATTCTTTTGACTGCCAAAGTACGACACAATCGGTTTACGTGTAGACTGCGTTGGGAATGCCTCTTTCTCTCGCCTTAGCGAAATTCCAACAGAAAGTAATTTTCAAAGCTCGCAGCCCACGTACTTTTTTTACTTGATTAATCCCCATTTAATTTGGATTTTTCTATAAATCCTTCACTCAGACATGTAAGAATGTACTCCAGTGTTCTGCTATTCGGTACGACATGCACAAAGTGGGTGAAGTTTAAGTAAGTTACGTTTTGTTCCAAGGTTACCATGGATGCAGAGTTACACTCATATGTCTAACAAGTATCGAATTAGCTATGAAGAAACTTCGGTTTTACTGGGAATTGTTATTTTTTCAGTAAATCATGGTATGAGTTTGGTGTATCACAGTGTTGTAGGAAGTATAATATAGGCGTATCGATACTTGATGGTTAAATGAACTAGTTTACGTTTTAAATTCCTTATGCCATGTTGAACTTCTTTCACACCGTATGTAGCTAACCATGCTAATTGGAGGTGCGAATTACATGTATATTCATAAATATCTAAACAACAACTTAATATACAATACTTTGAGAACCTTTTTTCCTGAACGTGCCATCAATTATATGTTCAAATCTATTCACCTTTTAATAAATGTGAATTGCCATTCTCACTGAAAATGTTAGTTCTAATGGTGTGGCATGTTGGTGAGCCCCTTTGAAGGCAAAACACATCCACGGATTTAGGCTCATGAATGTCCGGTGCTTTTTTTGTACACTTGTCAACAGAACATCTAAGCCACATTTGTCAGCTCATAAAAAATATCTTTCTCTTTTTAAATGTTTTGTTTTGACTTCATAAGTAGTATTAACTTATAGTAGTATAAACTTACACTACTTATACAAGTAGTATAAACATGTTTTTTATAATTACATACAGTTCTAAACCAAGTAACAAGGTTTTCTTGTGCAGTATACTTCAACTTAAAAAATAATAGCAAATTAGGTAATGCGGATCATTTAAAAACTTTGTATTTTGAAATGCATTGCACAAGCAACGTGATAAATTGCTGTCTAAAAAGAGAAAGTGGTTAGGGAAAATGATCATGGAAAGTATCCTTTTGATCAACTTGTTCGATAACAATTTTCATTATTCTATACACGCCAATGTGTTTTTTTTAAAGGACAGTGTGTATGGTTGACTCCCATCCCCAGAGAAATCCACTTCAAGTGCTCCACTGTTTAGATTTCTGACCTCCGAGTGAATGCTTGACATGATTGCCGATGCACCACGATGTTTGCGGACAGCTTCGGGAACATGATGTGCAAGGAGAGGAGGGAGGCGGTGAGCCGGGAGGACCTGGCCAGGGCCACTCTCGTCACCATCACCAACAACATCGGCTCTATCGCACGCATGTGCGCCCTCAACGAGGTAAACCCTGACCTTAAAACGTGGCTTTTCGTGGTCAGTACAAAGATCTCTATTTGCTTTTGGGTTGAAGTATTACTATTTAAATAAATGAAATATTTTACCAGGTAAGGCTCACTGAGCTGTATAGCTCATTTTCAGAAGTGACCTGGCCACAAATGTGGAGGGAAACACCGGAGAACCCGGAGAAAAAATTACATGATCACGGGCAGAACATTTAAACTGCAAATATACAGGCGTCAGGGTCGGGATCGAACCCATGACCTGTATACCAGGCGAGGTAGTTAACATCTCGCCATCACAGATTAGGCGTCGTGGTAGTTTTATGCCTAAAATCTTGTCATATTTAACCCTCCACCATCCAAAAAGATTGTCACGTGCGAATGTATGATATCATTTTGACCAATAAAGCTCCTCATCGGTGGCTTAAGACACTTTGTGACTGAAAAACCCTTCACAGAGTTTAGATTTTTACATGAAACTTGAGTAATCTTTATTTCAATTATGACCATCCTTGAGCAATAAATTAGGCCTTTTTTCATTCTTCTGTCAACCTCTTCTCAATGGAAGGTGACTCTTTCTATACTGCTATTCCTGCTGTTTGCTCGGTGATCCCCGCCATCAGACTGCTCAATTTTGGTCTTCAACGGAAACAGTGGGCAGCACTTGGCCGGATCTATTCCATCCACAGAAGATGTGGATACCTAATGCACAAGTGCAAAATCTAAGTCTTTCTTGTGTGCAACTGCAGCTATACGAACTACAACCCATGGGCCGTGTAGCTTTGACTCAGCCTGAATGTAAATTTTAAGGCGGTGTATCTGCACTCCTCCAGCTCCCAAACAAAGAAATGAAATGGATAAATCATTGACAACTGAGTATCTATTAGTTGCCCTTCATAGGCCACGTGAAAAAAAGAAGACCCCCATTGTCTGGAACTCACTCCCTCTGTTCATACACAATGCTGACTTGACCACCCCCTGTTGAATTCCAGACTTAGTACTTTATAACTCTAACTATAACTGACCATTTTCTTAATTTCCACCTTCTCAGCACTAAAATCTTATTTCCCTGTAGCCTACTCTTCCTAACCTCCCCTTTTCAAAAAAGTTGAACCATAGACTTTCTTACTTAATGATTAGCTGCTGTAGATAATTAACATTGTATTGTTAGTTTTCACATAAACAGATGCCACAGATGCCAAACACAGTGTGCAGAGTGTGTTGTACTCATAGTTTATAGGAGGCAAGAGCACTGACCGGTAAGCTACTCAGCCACTCGAAAACAACTACAAATAAAAACAAATAACAAGTTTGCAGCAAAGTTACATTTGTAACATGAAGACCTTGTTTCTCATGCAGCCTGCTCTGGCTAGCCACTTCAATGAAGTTCTCTTTTAACATGTGTTTATATAACCTCTTGACATAACTGCCAATAATTAACATTGGTCATAAAAAATCAGACCATAAGCATATTCCAGATCCATTGTGGAACATAATACACCGGTACAGACTATTTGTGTGTGCACCGTTTCTTTTGGATATTCTCAATGTCAGCATGATGTCATATTACAACACACTGGGGTGACGTTCCATGTGCTTTGTAATGCTGTCCTACAGGTTAATACACTCAGTATCAGCTGAGGCTGCAAATGCAATCTGTGTTTCTACATCATTGTCAATACAGTCTCTGAAGTTTCACGGTGTAAATCTAGCAGGCCATTGCATCATACTTTTGGTAAGCAGTGTCGAACAGGAATAATTCATTTGCAGTTGGAAAGAAATTATCCATCTATTTTCGACCCAAGATAACATGTATCGAATAGCTTACCCAAAAGTATATTTTTTAATGCGGTATATATGCTGCATTTAATATACACTTTTTAATTGACTGAAGGCCATAATTCCAGGGTGTGGGGGAGGTGTTGGAAGGGGGGGTTTGGGTTTAAAGGGGGTATACGGGGGGGTGAGGGGGGGGGGGCACTCCAGGGATGGGGAGGTGGGGATGTTGGGGGTGGGTGACCATCGTTCTACGATGAATACTTCCACGCGCACAAGACATAACAAGAATACAAAATTAACTCGCATTTACTACAATGGAAATAACACTGTTCAACAATGTATTCGCCACGCATTATCGATACTATGCATTGAATTATCAGAGGCTTGAATCATTTCAGACTGTATTTTTCAGGTCTCTCACAGTGAGCTGGGCAGTTTACCCTGTTCTCTCGGCCTCTTTACAGTGCTATCTTGTCACCTCAATCAAGCAGCATTGTACAGGGCTATGAGAGAGCAAGGAGAGCTCTTCAAATCATTAAAGGCTTCAGCTCGTAAAATGCATCTCCACATCCATATGTACATCTTCGTAGACCTTGTATCCTGCTTTAAGAAGCATTCTATTCTACAAATACTGTGTGTATAAGAATGTTTCATTGCATGTGTTGCACTGACCCCCATGTAAAACACCACCATGTGCAATATAGCGAGGTTTACATGGTCAGTTCTGCACATGCACATTGATAACAAAATACATACTCCAGTTTTTCCCTTTTGTTAAGCATTACTCAGGGTGTGCATTTAAATCCAACTTATTTCCTATTCCTACCACGTAGGTTTTCACGGTTGTGCTGTGTTGTTCAGCAGTCCATAGAGAAAAACGTTGGACATTTTGCAGTACAACGTGAAAACACATCGGAGAGAGAGCTGTTGCTGTGCTGCTGGTTTCCCATTGTTACTGCCCAGTTAATTAGCTTGCTTCATTCAACAATTTGTGTAACACTTGAAAAAGGAAAAAAAAACGATTCATCAGGCTGCATTGTGTTTTTTACTTCACAAAACAACTTGATCATTCGATCTGGCCATGGTATTAATAAACATTTTTAACACTGAACCTATTTCAATCGCAAATCAGCTTTGCCTTCCAACAGAGCGACACAAAAATGTGATGTGTTTTGAAAACGTAAGATTGCTGCGCATTTTTTTTATAAATGTGCCACAATTATTTTGCTAAGTTTTAAAATAATTTGAGATTAGCCATCTGGATGTAATTTGGTCATACTGATGACCATACTCTGATATGTTAATCGAGATGCCAGCATTGTTGCCCTTGCTATTCATCAAAGAGTTTAATGGGATGAATAATAATAATAATGATGTCAAGATGGCATGCACAGCATATGTCTTATTGATTTCATCCCAAGGTAGCAGTGTCTCCAAAAACCTCAATGCAATGTTTTTAGAAGTCTGGCCAAAACATTAACTTAAGCTAAAGATCTAAAGTTTAAAAGGCATGTTTATTGTAGAAATTGTAATAATTAATGTTCCAAAAATGTCCGTATTCTGAGCAGCAAGCTGGCTGGGATCATTGTTTATGATAAAATTGCTATTGGACAAACAAAACGAATCAATGTGGTTGATTTGGAAAAAGTGCAAGGTGGGTTAGATGACACTTGGAAGCTAGCTGTTCAGAGGGTGGTGTGAAATACAGTATGCATTCAAATGGATGTTTCAAACTCTTTAACTCTATGCTCATATCTGAGGTATGCTATTGTGCAGTTCTTACTCTAAGAAGTACATCTATAGTCCTACTCGTGTTCATTGTCTGCATAATTTGTGTCTGCAATCGGAATATCCTTCCACCTAATGAAATGTCCTGCTGAGTGCAGGAAGTGTACTTGTCCTCGTTCCAAGAATGGAGGCATTGAATCACGAGCCCCTTTGGTTTCACCGGATGCTAACTTTGGTAGTGGTATTGGCTCGCCAAACTGTTTTGACCAATTATACTTGTGTAACACTGCCACATTAGTGTAAGGAAGTTGAACATTGGGACTATTTCTTCCAGTTTTGATGGTTAACATTACAGACTAAATAAATATGTATTCCCATTCGAATGTACACAGTAAATAATTGCGCCATTGTAGTTGAATTTCTTATTTTCTTATAAAACAATTACGTAATTTTGTTGATCTTTCCTTTGCTTATCGTCACAATAAACCGAGCTCCTTGGCGTGCCATTTTTCTCCCCTTGACGTTGGGCGTGTGGAATGCGAACAGAAAATCGATCGGGTGGTGTTTGTCGGAAACTTCCTGCGAGTGAACACGCTGTCCATGAAGCTCCTGGCCTATGCCATGGACTACTGGTCCAAGGGCCAGCTCAAAGCACTGTTCCTGGAGCATGAGGTGAGTGCCTTCATCCTACATTCATAAACAGGGCAATGGCTTTCTTTAAAGATGTTTTAAGTCATTCCCGTTAAAAGTAGACAGGACCAAAGTACGAAAAATGCCAATGACACCCACATCCTTTGATAGTTGGTGATGTCACGGCAGGTAGTTAAAGCGCAGAGTCAGATGAAGCAGCCTCACTCACTTGTTGAGTTCTCACTACCTGATAAAGCTCGAAGCAGAGCGAACCAGGAAATTTTGATGTTAAATTCAGTCATGAAAAGTCTCAAGCCTCCGGTTCGCTTTATTGGTCAGAATATGATCAACACATTGACATGTCTAAATATTGCATTTGTGAACAACATGGCAACCTTGTAAGGTGGTGGAGGGTTAGTGACAATAATTTTTGCATAAAACTACCATGTGGCCAAACCCCAAAAAAACATGGATCAAGACAAGTCAAGCAGGGAACTTCACATGGGTGACAGCAAAAAGCAGTGAAATTAAATCTCCTGTCATCTTTCCCTAATGGGATACATACGTTTGATATACCAATAAATATAACTCAATATTTTTTATTCTTTGTGCCTTAACATTTTAACACGTTAATCATTCTAAACACATCCAAATTGTCCTTTGGGAATTGTAATTTTGTTGAAAAATTTGGCCAATGTTTTGAGAATACTTTGCAATAATTTTAATCGCCATTCAGTTTTGATCAATATAATAACCAGGGGAGATCTACGCATGAAGTATCAGCAACAGCCCTAAATGGATCCCTGGCATACTTCCAGATCACCGCTCACCATGGTCATATGCTTGACTCCACCTACCGTGTCTCTTAGCCAAGAGCTTATGTCACTTATGCCATTTTTTAAATGGGTTCCCTGATTTTAAATTTTAATATCAATGCATACCTTTGGCATGGATGAATAGATATCGGGATAAAGTATTTAGCATCCAGTCGAGGCAATACTGCCAGCAGTGGCATTAACGCAAGGAAACTTCACGTGAAATATTAAATTGTCACGATTCTCACATTCACCCATCACACAGGCGGCAATGTAGCAGATTTGGTATTTGCAGATAACCGGCTTAAATGAGCATTGTACTATAAGACTACATAGTGGATAGTTTTGTAAATTGTAATTACCGACCTACCTTGTGAATCTGAACACAACATTTCTTTTTCAGAGTTAATATGTCTAAATATAAATGCATTTTAATCATGTTATTATGTTAAAGCCAGGGAAAATGTGTTATTTTATAATTATTTTCAGAATATTGTGTTTTGTTTATTAATCAAGCATTACGTAAAATGGTTACCTATTCGGTGTTGTTGCAGCTGCTGTAAAGGGCAGTCTTGTCATTAAAACAACAGCATGTAATGTCGGTATTCAGTCAATCCCACATGTGCCATGTTTATTTAGTTAAACATATTCTCAAGTTACTTTAAATAAAGGTCAGCATTCATACATTTTTTTTCTGGTTATTGTGTTTTTTTCGTCATGGTAAATTCAAAGGGAATTTATGGCAGCATGATTCATACATCCAGTGATATTTTTATATTAAAATGCATGACTAATGTGCACCAATACAGTGAACATCACAAAGCGAATCTAATTGTCATACGATATTGCGTTTTTTGTAAAAAATATCAATTAGACGGTAGTTTGAATTTGTATTCTTAGGTTTTTCGGTTAAGTCACGTAAGTTAAACATCAAAATAAAAATAAAATTAAAATAAAAATCACGACGTTTCGGAGGCAACACAAGTCTCCGTCATCAGGTGGGACCGTCACAGCCGAATTAGCTGCATCAAGTGAAGCAATGATTCAAGATGTAATCCCTTATAAGCAAGTTGAAGGGAGGTGGAGAGGGGGGGGTTGGAGAGCTTATCAGACTGTGGTAGCCAATGAATGGAAACGTATCGGGAGGGAGGAGGAGCGGTGATCAAAGACTGCACGCACTGCTCAACACAATGAATGGAAACGTATCGGGAGGGAGGAGGAGCGGCGATCAAAGACTGCACGCAGTGCTCAACACAATGAATGGAAACGTGTCGGGACGGAGGGTGAGCGGCGATCAAAGACGCACGCAGCGCTCAGCACAATGAATGGAGACGTGTCGGGACGGAGGGTGAGCGGGTGACACGTCTCCATTCATTGTGTTGAGCGCTGCGTGCAGTCTTTGATCGCCGCTCACCCTCCGTCCCGACACGTTTCCATTCATTGTGTTGAGCACTGCGTGCAGTCTTTGATCGCCGCTCCTCCTCCCTCCCGATACGTTTCCATTCATTGTGTTGAGCACTGCGTGCAGTCTTTGATCACCGCTCCTCCTCCCTCCCGATACGTTTCCATTCATTGGCTACCACAGTCTGATAAGCTCTCCAACCCCCCCCTCCACCTCCCTTCAACTTGCTTATAAGGGATTACATCTTGAATCATTGCTTCACTTGATGCAGCTAATTCGGCTGTGACGGTCCCACCTGATGACGGAGACTTGTGTTGCCTCCGAAACGTCGTGATTTTTATTTTTATTTTATTTTTATTTTGATGTTTTACTTACGTGACTTAACCGAAAAACCTAAGAATATGAATCTTTGCAGTCACGAAAGCTTCAAATCTAGAATTAGTTTGAATTTGGTCAATAAAACGTTACGCACGCAACTCGAACTTGGTGCCGTAGTGTGAATAGTTATCCTGTGAGTTGAATCTCTCTCTAGACGGCTTCATGTCTGCCGTGGCCTTGGCATCACATCACGGTTTCAGAGTCTGAGGTGTTTCCTAACATCTCAGGTGTGATTGCTTTAAATGCTTATGTCAAACTTTTTCTCTTAAGCAGTTCAAACTGCTTTCCATAATTCATTAATAATGGATGATGGCCTCTTTGGATAACTTGTACATTATATAGTGGCAGTAGAGCAGTCTTCTTATAACCATGATGGTAGCAGTGTTTCTCATTATGTTCCTTGCTGCTGTTCTGTGTTGGCAGGGATATTTTGGTGCTGTGGGAGCTCTACTCGAACTACTGAAATCCAACTAAGGTGCAAGTCCCTTCACAGACTGCACCCACTCTGACCTGTACTGAGACCTCACTGTTCATAATCTGAGCAAACACCGGTGCTCAATGTGCTACCACTCTTATCGGGAAAATATGCGAAAACAAAGCCGACACAAGGTTGCACTAAACGATGGCTGACCTTACAGCCGTGAGTATGCAGCAGTGGTCAGAGAACAGCCATTGCTGTGTTCACACTCGAGTTCCAGACTGTCTGGGCCAGGCTGTGGCCACCCTTTGCATGTTGTTGTCAAGCGTCTAATTTGAATGCAGTGGTCATTGTTTAAGTTGTGTATATTATCGTTAATGTGTAATGGCTGCTGTTACTCGGACAATTCAAGAAGGGCGGCCAGGCATTCACATGCATGAAAGTGAAAGCACCACCTTAAATCTCTGCCACAAAATCTGAGAGAAATATTTTCCCCTCAGTTGGTTGATGGTATATAAGGCCTGTATGAGCTGTAACGTCGAGTTTATTTTATAGCCTTTTAAGCCCTCGCATTTATTGTTGTATATTTTTGTGTGAAAATTAGTTTCAGTGCACACTTTGCCAATCTACTTAAATCGTCACATGTTAGGTTACATGTGCCTTCAATTTAAAGACAACCTTTCCAAACTTAACTGCTAAAATTATGATAATTGTTTTTTTACCCTTCTATCTGGCAACAAAACTGACACCTTTTTACAAGGAGTCATGTTTGCATAGACCGCAATACCTGCAGTTATAATACAAGCAAAAGACATAACTCTGATAATATGCACTGTCCTTGAAGTTGATTGGTCCACACCCGAGACAGCTTTCCTTAGAGCCGAGTCTCACATGGGTTGGACCAGATGACGCCTTTAAGGAAAGCTGTCTCGGGTGTGGACCAATAAACTTCATGGACAGTGCATATTATCAGAGTTATGTCTTTTGTTTGTATTATGACTGCAGGTATTGCGGTCTATGCAAACATGGCTCCTTGTAAAAAGGTGTCAGTTTTGTTGCCAGATAGAAGGGTAAAAAACCAATTATCATATTTTTACTGGTAAATGAGGTTCCCATAGTGCTAAAATTATATTACAAAAGAATACATTGCAAAGCACCCATACATTACAGTTACCAATACTGAAAAACACAAAATTGGCATCTCATACAAATTACAGAACTCGACCACTTGGAATACAGATGAATGATAGTCACCCAATGATCATCTGCTAACGTATGTTTTAGGATCAGGACACCAGGGTAGGGTGATAAAAATTCCCAGCCACAGTCACGAGCCTTCACTTATGAGGTTTGAATTACCAAATCAATGCATGTCTGAAACATAGTTATAAATACTTAATTTCCTTAAAGCCCTTCCTTTTATGTTTAGTGATACGTAAATAACTTAGGCCTGATTTTGATATTTCAGCTTGGATTTTTTTGTTTAAAATAACTTTTGTTGTCTTTTTTCCTCAATTGCCAATGTGATATGAGCTTCATGTGATGAGATGAACAGTGTATTAGTTAGTCTCAGAGTAGCGACGGCCGTGTGCCATAGAACGGCCCACAAGCAATCCTTCACAGGACTTCTGAAAAATCCTTCAAGTGGCCTTTCATTTACAAAGTAGGGGGAGAACACTTTCCCAAAAGCTCTGCTATGAGATTGAAACATGACAGTGATAAATATATTAATTTTCAGAGCTCGACTTTATCAAAGCAAGAGCTTTATTGATCACCAGGCTGATGAGGGTTTAAATAGTTATTCAGTGGCCTTCCATGTAAGAGTACTCCATACGTATTTCTATGGATATTTAGGAGTTGGATTATATTAAGTTACTCTAGTTCACTTAAAACATCGCTGTCATGTTATATAATCTTAACGTTTTGGTTATACAGAGCAAAGGAGTAGGCAATGAAGTTAACAAAAAGACATTCCCACAACCGTTCTGCAACATACTGTTGTTATCCTTGAGCAATCTAAAGTTGATCATCTCCACCAAAAGCATTGCTGAACATTGACTTCCATTTATTTTGGTTAAGGAAAGGAATTGTGAGTGTGATGTCACAAAGGAAACAAATGCATGCTTTCGTGTTAGCACGAGTCAGTTTCTCCCAACATCCCCTTCTAAGTACTTTGACTCATCTGTTTAACTTTTTATACATGTTTTTTCATTTACTACTATAATGAGCTAAGAATGTCTGTGTGTCCGACGCGTGACATCATGTCGACCAGCCCCCCTCATTAATAATCATGAGCAGGTGACATCCTCCACATGGACCCCCCCTCATTAATAATCATGAGCAGGTGACGTCACTCCGCATGGGGGGGGCGAGGCGCCTCCTCACCCCTCAGCGTCAACTTACAATCCTCACTACAAAGGCAGAACCCTCACGTCACGCGATCTCCGTCACGCTTTTGAGACGTAGAAGTAAAAAGGACGTCATGATGAACAAGGAATAACCTTAAAATGAAATAGGTCTGTGTCACCGCGGCCTTACAAATTGCACATGCATTGATGCAATGAATATCACGTCGCGGTCTTCTTTTCGCTTGCAAGTTTCAAATTTACTGAAATACACGTGTCCTTGGACAGGCAAAGGGCTAGTAGATAGTATTAGCCTGACTTATATTCCGTGGGTCTTTTGGTAAAGTCACGTAGATAGGTTTCAAATAAAATAACAAATAACTACGACGTTTAGATCTCAACACAATCGGTCGTCATCAGGAAAAAAGTTTTTTACTTTATTTGAACCTATCTACGTGACTTTACCGAAAGACACAAAGAATATGAATTCCTGCAGTCACAAAAGCTTTAAATCAGGATTAAGCCTGACTTGGTTTAGTAACTGGCATTCTACTGGTGAAAGTGTGGCTGGACCACCTATGGCGTGCTGCAAGTCATTATTAACTATTATTTACAGTTGGCTCGGTGAGTCAGAGTACGTCTTCAAGGTACTTTTGTAATACCATGCAACAATTGACGTGGAAATTGAGCACCTGTGCACCCCGATGTTCGTCTGAAAATAATGTGAGAGACAAATTGACGAATGAGGACAAATAGCGTGCATCGACTGATGTGTTCCCTGCACACCGAATTTGGCTTTTTATGCAGCATATCTGTGATGTGCGGTGTGTTGTGCTCCAGTATTTCCACATTTCATTGTTATAATGCCGGTTCAGAAAATGTGTAAAGCTGCTTGTTCAGGATAAACATGTCAAGGTCATTTACTTTTTTACCTCCTCTCTTGTTTATAGCCCTGAACCAGCTGTGAAGATTCCCCATTCGAAATTTTACATCAACATGGAGCAGTTAATGCACGTTTTTGAGCATGCCTCTTTATTGTGTAAATGGCATCAAACTACGAGTCATTACAGTGCTTTTAAACAATAATATTACTATTTAGCATGTGCATTTGAGTTCAGTATTCGTAGAGTTGGAGCACGCAGAATTTGGTCATTGCTAGTTGTAGTATTTGCTTCCCTGGGGGGGGAAGGGGATACTGACGAAGGGCGTGACGTGAACACTGAATCATTGTCCCCAAAAGAAAATAATAAAGCAGTATAATCTCTGCGTAGGTTCTAATAGTTAATATTTTGAGATTTGTAATCATCTTCATATTCTTTAGCTTGTTTTTACCCTGCCAATGTCTCAGAAGCGTAGTTTCCAATCATAACACATCTGAAAGGCAATTTCAGTTATTTTAACTTGACTTTGAGATGTTCGCCCATGATTGGAGCCTCTGTGTGGAAATTGTCAACATCATCATGGTTCATTTTACTATCGGTTTTGCTAATTTGGTTAATATTTTATCAGTGATTGTGTATGATGCAGATCTTTTTTAAAGTGACTTGAACATGTATGCTTACTATTGTGTTTGTTAAATTTTGATTTTAAACTTTCATGACTGCAGGAGTTAATATTCTTTGGTTCTTTCGGTAAAGTCGCGTAGATAGAAAACAACAAAAAACAAAAACCCACGACGTTTCGATCGCAACACAAGCGGTCGTCACAAGCGGATCATCATTAGGTTGTCTTGCGATCGACACGTCGTGTGTTTTTTTTATTTTTTTGTTTTCTATCTACGTGACTTTACTGAAAGAACCAAAGAATATTGTGTTTGTTGTTTTGTTTTAAAGAAAGCATTTGGATAAAGTTAATATTTCATCATCCAATGGTTGAAAGCAGAGCAGTCTTTTCAGGTTTAAGATGCTTCATAAAGTTACAATGTAATATTCTATCTATCATGTTCTTTCATTTCCCACAGACTGCATTATTATGTGGTAATAGTTATTGTAAAGGATTAGGGTTGATCCAATATTACAGTGTTAAATATACGATTTTGTTTAACTTGAACAGCAATACAGTAATACATTTTTGTATTATAATAAATCTCTAATTTTGCATAGCATCAATTATGGTAACAAATACTGAAATATTCACATGCATTAAATCATGATATTGCTTCATACTTGGATATTTAGCATTATATTAAAACATGTAAGGTTTGCTAGAAAGTTTTGCAACAATACAGTATTTGTAAACAGTCATGTATATTTTTAGTATTTATATTGAGCCTGTATGCAAAGTACAATATCCGGATATTAAGGTAACTCTTACTACGGCATTCATATATCATATTAGAGTCAGCATATCAGATATGCCCATTCATTGTTTTACAAGGTAATTTTTATTCCACACTTTTAAGAGTACATATTATTCAACATCATCAACATGAATTACAGATATACAAACAATATTCTCGGCCAGTGGTTTTCATCCCATGGGTCGCTCCCCCAGGGAGGTCACAGAAGCCTTGTGGGGTGGGTGGGAGGTATAGGCTGCAGTATGGATACCTTGGAGGAGAAGGGAATATCAGCGTAGCGTTGTGGCTTCAGGACAGACTTGTACACAACATGAAACAGATGGCTTACTGATCCCCACGTTGACTCGAGGCTTGGACATCTTATCCTGCTTTTTTGTATTTACTTTGTTGTTTTCCCCTCGCACTTCTGATGACTACGTACTATACGAAAGAAGTTCAACATTCGTCCTGGGGGGATGTGGCACGGGGGCTTGGAAGAGGCAGGGACCAGTGGGTTTAACAATTATTGGCCCACCTTTCTAAAAAGGCTGGGAACCACTGCTCGAGTGGGCAGGTCAGTCATGAGCAATTATTAAAACACTGAAATATTTATTACACTCCTAATAGCTACATTTTAACGCACTGTTTTTGAAATGTGTAGGGGATATAGGAAAAAAATGTTTGTACACTTTTGAAAAATGTTGGTAATATTGAGATATGTTCTATTAATTAGTTCTAAAAATGTAAGTTACCCATGACTGAGGCTCTTTGCTATGAGCCATGCCTGTACATGATACATTGTACAGCCCATTTTCTCAATCTACTGCTGAATGAATGCCTCCCCGTGCCTTACAGGGGATGTGGGATAATGACAAAACTTTACCATGCTGGTCGGTGCGGGTTGGTGAAGGCAGAAGGGGGGGGGGGTTGCAGAATAACAGTGGATTTTTCTGCACTGCCCTCTACTGCGAACAACGCTTATTACATTGCATTTTATGCATGGTGGTCACCCATTCAAGTACTATCCAGGCTCAATCCTACAAATATTAGATAATGCACACAAATTTCATTACATCATTAACATGCCAGAAGTCTGTAAATTGCACATTAACAATGTTATTTTTTTACTTTCTTGCAATTTAATCGGCTTTTGTGCACACCTTAATCGACTCACCAAGATATTTTTCAGTGATTGATTTTCAAACACGCAGATACATTTCCTGTAAGGCACACAATAGGTATGTTCTTTCTTAAGTTGATCATAATGAGCTCACCAAAGCACTTGTGTTGCTCGTGATATCAGCCTTGGCACTGGATTAATACCAAAAGATTGGATTTGTAATTCCTATTAAATGTGAGGATGAAGTGAACACTGGCTAATATCCATATGGTAACCTCTTCTTCACATGACTAATTTTTTTAATAAATAAAAATTTCAAGAGTCCTGTGAAATGGATTTCACTGTGATGTTAAGTGTTCCCACCAGACACTCGTGATTTCACGCCTGTGAAAAATATGTTTCAGGTTCTTTCTCGTTATCTGTCACGAGTGCATGCCTCTTCTTGGTTATTTCGGTAAAGTCACGTAGAAGGGAAGTAATAAAATAATAAAAATAAAACATAATAAAATAAAATAATTCTCACGACGTTTCGGCTGCTTGCATTGTAGCCGAAACGTCGTGAGAATTATTTTATTTTATTATGTTTTATTTTTATTATTTTATTACTTCCCTTCTACGTGACTTTACCGAAAGAACCAAGAAGATGAATCCCTGCAGTCACGAAAGCTTTAAATCGAGTGCATGCATTTTAACATTTTTCTGATTTGAATGAACAGTCAACACAATGGTTATATACAAATTATTCTAGCCCTCTGTCAATTTACTGTTGCATGAAACCCATCCAGATACTGTGTTGGTCATGAGCGTTTGACCATTTGTTATTTTAATTCGTGCTGGTTGGTGAAGTTGTGGCCCATAAATGATTCGGATATCAATCGCAACATATGATGCGTATCCTTGGCTGGGAATCAAACTCAGGCAGCCGGGTTCATAGTGCAGTGGTTCAAAGTTGGTCAAGTATTGACTTATGCGTAGTGCTTATTGAGTACAAGTGGTACATTTATCTGCATGAACTACATCCGATCAGAGTTGGTAAGCTGCAATTGGGGCTGAGCCGTTTGCAATCCACGTAGTTGGTAAAAAAAGTGCTACGTTTTTTCATTTCAAAATTAGTCATTCGAAGTGAAGGAAAATTGGTCAGGATTGAATATATTGATACAGATTTCTTACTTGCTTGAACATCATTTGTATCAAATTCAAATAACATCGCATGATGACCTGTTTCATTCACCAATACATTTATGTCCACATTTCAGATTGTTCAGATTGGGCCGTTGAAGGCACAGGTAAACCCATGCATGTGGATCGATCACAATTCAAGAAACTGCACTAATTATTATTTCTGCTCAAACAGTTCAACATCAGTGAGCACCTGTGCCATACGTTTACATTTTCTAAGCTGTGAAAATATTGTACCCATAGCAAATTAATAGCTGCCCTGAGTGTGCGAACCATAGGTGTAAATCATCAAGATTGGTTTCTGGTATGTGTATGTCACGTAAGTGCCACTCGTTTAAATATTTTCATAGCTCTCGGTCGCTAAGAACAACTGTTTGGTTGGGTGAAAATGCATTAAAGTTTGAATGGAGGTTATCCAGAAGTTGCTGGCATGACCACCTCCAAGCCTCTGGATTGTGCCCCACCTAATGAATACCTCTTCTGTAAAGGAACACCATTCTACCAACACGTAATACCGGTCTTCTGGGTGTTTCCCTTTCTATGAACCTCGATGCAGAAGTGTAGTGTAACAGTTAAGCGTTGTACAGAAACAAAACTCTTTTATGTACAGCATACTCTTACAGGCAATTATTTGCAATGCATCGTCATTCATAAAAAAAAAATGTAATGTGCTTCTAAAAATGTAAAACATACCCATGATATATTTTCCTGTTTATTCCAATGTTCTAACAATTTGTGTTTATATATGTATTTAAAGCTACGTAGAATGTGTTGTTGTTGTTGCTGTTGCAGTGTTGTCATTGTCTATACATTCATATTGTGATTTCACACTTACATTGGACCCCAAATTAGCCACTGTCCAGAAATGAATCAGCCAATGATCAATATATGTTTTTGATCGCTGAACACATTTTGCATCATTTTGTAAGACAAGTCTCTTTGCTGGAGACTCTTAGAGCACTGCATGTACTTTATTTGGTTTACCTTAAGGGAAACATTCAGGAGTTCAGTGTTTCTACAGCGATATGAAATACCTATACACTCCCTGTAAGACACGTGCACCACCAAATGGTAAATGCAACTTTAGATGGGATTGAATTTAGATGTTTTAGACATCCACATTTGTTACAGCTGTAAATGTCTTTGAAATGTATTAATTAATATCAGTTCTCAATAATTTGATCATTTCTGTGGGGACCATATTGGAGACTTTGAGAACAGTTTGCTATACTGATGTCTAATATGGTTAATTGCATGCTTTGTATTTAAACCTTAAAGGTAAAAAAAATGTTATTTTATCAACCCACATGTTGCCTTTTTATTTAGTTTAGTCAGATTAACTGTAAACAAAACAACTCAATATCTTTTAAAATAGCAAAGTAATGTAATAATGTTCATGCTGTATATGATTAATGTTACAAGGCAGTGTGTGTGTGTCCTTTGAAATCCTGTATTTTAGATTTCCATTGTGTGCAGCGTTGTCAAATTCAATGGATGTGTAATTTAGGTATTATGTTAACTAAAAATAAATTAATGCAACCGGGTTGGCCTCTGCTTCTTCTGTTTGCATGGTAACAAGTGGAGTTTCTGGTATGAAATGTACTTACATATACTCCGATACATCTTATGTAAAATAGGCCACTTGTATTGTGCGTAATAGGCCACTGCTATTCATTGCTATTGTAAAAAATATTTTTTTTATGTATTCATGGCCATGCCTGGTATGTCTCTTGAAAAGTAAGAAATAATATATTTGCGTAATAAAAATTAATTATATTGGTATAATGACATTTGGCCAACGTTAGAAATACTTCCATACGCTATTGAAGTTAATTAACTTTCAGTTAAGTTGTCCAACTTATACAGTATTAGTTGTATCTGATGTATTAATAGATTGCAAAGTGTTTTTCAGCATAAAAGAAATATCACATTTAGAATCTAGCACATTAACAGATGTTGATTAGCGAATGTTAATAGGTGCTGTCTTGGTGTTTTATGGTTAAAAAGTCGACTGGTGTTTTTCATGACCACATGAACGACTGAGTTGATGTAATGCTCTGCACAGAGTAACAATTGCTATACTTCATAGGAAGTAACAATGGCCACTATGCTAGAATTCCGTGTCAAGCATGGCAAGCTCGATCCCATTCACTTGTACGGTATTGTATTTGGTTTCATTTTCAGGATGCTGCTGTAAAGAATTCTTCAAGCACATTTTTTGCATAGTTATCCTCTGCTATACTCTTCACGTTTAATTGATATATCATCTGATTAGTTTTCGCTGTTGCATGTTTTTAAAAGGAATAACATCACTTGTTTACTCCAATAGTTTTGCCATCTTTATAGTCACCAAACTACCACACCACCACGTGATTGGACAGTCGTGCTTATAAACAATTTTAAACCTTTGTTCTTTTTAAAATATAGAGATTACTGTACACTGGTATGGAATGCTGCATGGTACGATGTTTAACACACGGGACGCTGGTTCCATCTCCCAGGTTCTTGAATCCCCTCTGCCTCTGTCCACCCACCAGTATAAGTAAGTAGACCACAGTCGATTGGCAGGTCTTGTGCGATGGGGTCAAGTGTGGGTACTCCCATCTCTTCCGAGACGGCTGGTCATGGTGAAAGAGTAGTCCAAAATACCTTCGTTGGAGGGGTTCTCAAGAGTTGTTTTGTGGAGGCCATTCTGCCAGCAGTGGCGTGAGGAAGAAATTGCAGGGCTGCACCTTTACCCACCGTAGAACTCTGATTAACAACAAGTGCTGTAGAGCAGAAGGCGTTGTTCTGAATCCGTTAACAAGAACGTGGGTGAGCTTATGCACCAATTTATGTTAAGGTTTACTCTATAAGCAATGGATTGTTGTCATTTTCCCTGTTTGCAACTATTCTAAAGTAAACCGTTTTTATCGTTAATATAAAACATAACATGCTCCATGAGTTGTTCAGAGCCATGACGTATATTTGAACGTGATTGTGTGTGAGGAAGTGCATGACCATTATGCAGATGTATCATTGAAACGTTTCAAGAGTAACAATGTAGAAACATTTGTTGGAAACAATGAAGTCACAACTGGTAATAAATCACATTGCATATTTGTTTGAGAGGAATGGACAGGTTACATGGGTATTAAGTTGTAGGTAATCGTACACCATTGTTATAGACAAGGCAGTTCACAAAGAGCATCTTGGTTGTCTAAGCTGTGTGTCTTTCCTTTGAAGTTAAACCACTGGTAAAGCCTGGTCAGGTCGGAAGGTGTCTTGTTTCTCATTGGGCGCTGCTTTCATTAACAACACATCAGATTACGAGCTGTGCTGTTTGTGTGGCTCATTCAGTTTCTATTGAACATGTGTGATACATCCTATGCGGCAATGTCGGATGCTGTAGTGGTGTGATGATTAGCCAACTGGGCTGGCAATGCAAAGGTCGCCAGTCCGGTTTGATCTCCCCGCCCGGCAGTTGAAACAATGGACACGTTTTTGAAAATTGGGTACTTAATGTTGCAACCTTGATTCAGGAACTTCCTGGTGGGTTAAAGGGAATTTTCAACAGCCGTGTGCCACAATTTACCACGCACTTCCACGAGCGAATGTTATATGTATTTGCCATTAAATGTCAGTGTGACCTGGAATTGCGTATGCTATCGCTTGACTAAGAATGTCGCGGTCATAATTGACGTCCTCGTAAACTGCAACACGTTACAAATGTTACCAAGACATGTGTTTCTGGACACACTCCGTGCCTTGGTCCTCTTTTCAGCTAATGAGCCCTCGGCTCGCTTTGTTGACAACAACCAAGCCACCATCAACCGGAACGACCTCGGTCACCGTTTGAAGCAACCTCACACACATTATGGGATGCTGCCGTGGTCTCATGATTAATACGCTGGATTTTCAATGCAGAAGATGTAGGTTCGATCTCCCGGTGGGGCATTTTAAAACAATGGTAAAGTGTTTTGTTTAACTCCCCGCGCATCTGTGACCCAAAGAGTACAAATCGGTACGGCACAGTCGACCAACGGGCAAGTCGTACATGGCGGGGTAACGTGCGTGTCCTCTCGCGTCTTCTAAGACGTCGAACCGGCATGGAAGATGAGGCCAAATACCCTCGAGTGGGTCTTTCTCGAGCTCCTCGTGGATGCCACCCTGCGAGGAGTAGCATAAGCAATCCATTTCAGAGCTGCACCTTTGCCTAGCATTGTAAACCGGAGAGTTTTTGTACGTAAAATGTTGTCTCTGCAATGAAGGGATGTCAGGAATCAGGATATGTATTTATACTGCAGGAGGAATCCGATGAGCTATAAAGCTTTATTTCACCGATGTCCAGTAGAGCCGAGGAATGGGCACACACGGGGGGCGGGGGAGGGGGTCATGGAAGGGATCTCGGGTAGGGAGGGGACGGAGTGGAGGGAAGAGGAAGGGAGTGGAGGTGAGGCTGAGAGAGGGGACCGGATGGAGGTTAAGGAAGGGGACTGTGAGTTTGGGAGGCTTTCACCCAGCAGTGGATTGACCACGGCTGATGATGGTGGTGGTGATGGTGATGATGGTGGTGATGATGGCAATGACGATGATGGTGATGATGGCGACGATGGTGATGATGATGACGGTGGTGACGATTATGATCGCCACACCGAATGGAACGTGACGTGAGGGAGCGGCCTGTGAGATCCGTGCCGATGACCTCTGGGCCACGCACGGTCGAGCCTTACTCTCCACCCTGCCGTGGAGAGTAACGTTCGTCAGCGCAGGCGGCAATGGAGCCCAGATTGTTGGGGATGAAATTTGGCCGATGGGAGCGAAGATCCACGTGGGACGTGATATTATTTTGAGAGATCTAAACTAACACTAAAAATAACGTTTTATTTTACCAGGTTAGGCCCCACTGAGCTGTGAAGCTTCTTTTTTCAGAAGCGACCTGGCTATCACAAATGATAGCGCAACGAAGTGGCTTATCACGTGGAAATTTATAGGATCTAAAAACTGGAGGACCCAGAGAAAAATAAATGCGACCACGGGAAGAACACAAACTCCAAATACAGTGAGGGAAAAAAGTATTTGATCCCCTGCTGATTTTGTACGTTTGCCCACTGACAAAGAAATGATCAGTCTATAATTTTAATGGTAGGTTTATTTGAACAGTGAGAGACAGAATAACAACAACAAAAATCCAGAAAAACGCATGTCAAAAATGTTATAAATTGATTTGCATTTTAATGAGAGAAATAAGTATTTGACCCCTCTGCAAAACATGACTTAGTACTTGGTGGCAAAACCCTTTTTGGCAATCACAGAGGTCAGACGTTTCTTGTAGTTGGCCACCAAGTTTGCACACATCTCAGGAGGGATTTTGTCCCACTCCTCTTTGCAGATCTTCTCCAAGTCATTAAGGTTTCGAGGCTGACGTTTGTATACAGCAGGCATCCGGGTCGAAAATCGAACCCACGACCCCCTGCATACCACGCGAGGTAGCCAACATCTCGCCATCGTGGTGCCCTGGTGACCAGCCTGAGACTATCAACTCATGACACCAGAGACCCTTGCGTGATCACCATCCCGTCTAAGTGAGTCCATGGGTCTCCGTGTAATATTCAGAAAAGCATATATACTAAACCTGACGCCTGTAGGCTGTTGGTTCCCTGGTAACTAACTTTTATCGCTGATAGCAAAGAAAACATCATCAGGGGTGTACTCATCAGGTGGGACAACCACAGCAAGAAACAATTGCTGAAGTGGCCAAAAGGGCTGCCGTGACAAGAGGCTATATGGATAAGAGAGGGGGGAGGAGCAAGGGAGGAGAGATAGAGAGGGGGTGTGGGGTAGGGGAAGTAGAGCGCTGCTTCGAGGGATTAAAAGACGAGCAAGGCAAAATGCCGGGGTGGGGGGGGGAAGTGAGCGGGGCTGGGAGTGGGAAGCTGAAGAAACTGGAGATGCAGATATGAAGGCAACACCGTAAAGCATGTTAAGGTTTTACCTGGTTAATAACATCCTTCCAATGATTGCTCCATTTGTATCCATCTTCTCGGTTGAAGGTATGTCTATGTGTATATATCTGGATGGCTTCATGAACAAACCTTTGATGAACAAAGGGGTGCACTCTTCACATTTGCCTCTGCATGGTATCCTTCATGAGGCATTAACGAGGTCTAGACAGGCGCCCACATCCCCATGCCAGCAAAGCAACACGTGGATTTCGCATTTAGCCTCCGTTCAAATATAAAGTGAAAGAGCAGAAAAATATAGTGTTGAAATAAACAGTTATTGCTCGATGGCACCCTTATTACGAGATCCGTATACAGGGTGCTTAAACGTTTTTTTTTACACTTCTGAGAATTTGCAAAAATACACAAGAAATGTGCCTCCGGGCCCTGGAGACCACCTGAAGAAGATTCCAGGCACGTGTTGACAATGATGGCGAACAAGTGGAGACCCTTTGACTTTTGAAACGATTAACATACATTTGTTATCATGTTACAGTGTATTATCTGTTCTTTTTCCATTAAAAAAAGATAGTCCCATTATAAGTGTTAGTATTGTTTTGAAGCACCCTGTATAATGCATAT